ACATTCAGTCTCTAGTGGAACATAACTGTTCCCTAAAGTCAGCTTTCTGGAAAATTTTTCTAAGAAGTGAAGTATTGATCTGCCCAAGCTCCCCGACCCCAGAGTGGTAGTTGCCAATATTAGAGAGTGCTCACTGTTTGCCAGACCCCTAAGCATTTCATGGTTCCAACTCTGAAACCTTAAGCTCTGTTTTCACTCTGTCCTGAAGCTCTCTGGAAACGGTGTTGTTAGCCAGCGTCTACTTTGCTCCCAGACTGAGGAAGAAGAAACACGTTCACTAACTTCCTCATCTGTATGGAGCCAGATGCCAGAGGACCTAAGGAGGCACACTGGGCAAAGAGCAGAAACTGGACTCATGCAGAGCTGGGTTGGAATCCAAGCCAGGCCTGCCACTTACAGGCTACGAGACTTTGGGTAAGGCACTTCACCTCTCAATCTCTCCGTTTCCACACCTGTAAAATGGGGATTACAGTGTATTTTACAAGGGGGAGGGAGGGTGTTGATTAAAAAAGAATCCCTCTCTTAAATGGCCACCTGCTCCCTTCCTGTCTTGAAGCAGAAGTGCCCCCTAGTGGCAGATACACATCCTGTTTATGCTAATATGAGACTAAAGCTAGCTCCCAGAAGACTGACTAGTGTGACTAGTAAAAGCAATATTCTAGTATTCCTATTGCAGTTTTTGGAAAATACTTCATTCACTGTCAGTCCTGGGGGTGAAGCCCTCATTTAGCCTTTTCCCAATAACTGCCACACACTCCTCTCTGGTCCTGCTACAGGTCTATCCAGTTCTACTGCACAGAGCGTAAAGCACAGCTGACATTTTCCACCAGCCCTTACCTACTCCTTGGGAAGATGCTGGGGTAACTGGGAGTAACAGCATGAGTAACTAGTACTAGTATCCCTGTTGCTGGTTAAAACTTGGAGTGTAACCCATTCAGATTTATACAGCTGGAACTCAGCACTGCAAGCTCATTTAGCTTGGGCCGCATATTTTCAGTTGAGGAACTGAAGACTCACAGAAGGAAAAGTGACTCAGGGTCATTTTCTTTTCCCTATATGCCCTCCCCAACACTGCAGACTTCATAAAGCACCTGGTCAGAGACTGAAGCTGACCTAATTGGCTCTGGGAAGAACTTCTACACTTGCTGTAATCTTGGTGGTTTTCCTGCAGAGCAACTGTTTGGCTGGCCGAAGCTTAAGTGGGCTGGTAACTTGACTCCCTTTTCAAACTGTCAACACAGTGGTATCACCAACCTCATTAAAATTGATGTCAGCACAACTTGACAGGGCTGGAGAAAAGGGAAGGTCATAGCCTAAGGGTAGAACCTTTGTGGTTCTGTCTTAGCTTTCTCTGGTGGTAGTGTAGTGTACCCCACATAGAAGTACCAGAAATGCAAAAGGATTGAAAACTGCTGTAATTATCCTCACTTGTGACGTGGGAGTCCTGGTGATAGGGTTGGGGGGGGCATTTCTCTTATACAAGATGGTCTGTATTTCTATGAAAAGTGTCAGTCACTCTTCAGGTCCTGGATTCCCCTAGCAGGAGTGAATTCAAAATTAAGAGCACAAGTTGAAAACAGAGCCATGTAGTTTCTAGGCTAGGTCCTTTCACTATTTCACCAGTTGGGCCAGCTCTTATCCCTCTCCTGTGCCTCAGTTTCTCCATCTTTACAATGAACAATGGCTCCAACCCTTTTATTATTAAAGAACAAAAGATTTAAATGCAGTCATGGCATTCCAACATATTACACAGGGACAGAGCAGTTGATCTAGCTGGAGGGCAAGGGTATGTGTGCAAGAGAGGCTTCCACTGACCACAAAGGATTAAGTCAGGACTAGTCATCCAGCCCATTACAGCTCTCACCCAGCTTAGACATTTTATGACTCAATTATTTGCTGCAAAAGCTGGAGGCAAACCTACTCAATGAAGGTCTCCTTCAGATGGGAGACAAGTCCAGAAAAAAGGTCTGCTCTGTGAGCTCATCAACAAAGCTTTCTTCTTCAAAAATTTAAAAATTGTCTTTAGTCAAGAACAGCTGAGCCTCACAGACCTCCCAGAGATCAGAATGTCACAGGCTTCTGAAAAACCTAATTTTAAAAGAAAAACATGACAGAAATGAAAATGTAGCTTGCTAACTCCCCAGACATACTCACTGGCCACATGTAGAAAGCCCAGTTGACATTTTACAAAGTGAATGCATAAGAAACGTTCAACCTTCAAGGACCTCTAGGAGAAGGTCTCAAATTACTACTCCAGTCCCACTAGCATTCCTCCATTCTTTCTCATTCTTGAGTCAAATTTGCCTATTTGAATACAAATGTACTCGATAATCCCTACCTCTAGAGGCTCATGTTCCTCCCTCCTTTCTCCGTTCCAATTTCAAATTTGCATGTACAGCTCAAATACTTTCCTTTCTAGGAAACTTCTGCAATCCTAGTTGGAAGCCACCTTTCCAGCCTCTGAATTATCCTAACACTTACTGGACTCTTGTTCTAGGTCCCAGTAAATATCACTTCCATGTTTCCTCTCCCCTGCTCCGAGCACCCAAGGACTGGCTGGTCTCTATCCCAACACCCCTCCTTCTTTCCCAGCCAGGATCCTGGCATATCCTGCTTGGTAGATACTGGAAAGTTCTGTAAACTTGAAAAAGCAGGAAAAATGATCACCCAAAGTTACTGTTTGATATTTGACAACATCTGCAAAATCTGAGGACCTTTAGGCTACAGAAGAAAATGCTTTATAATGTATTGAAGGTTTGCCAAGCCTGTGGTTGGGGAAAATAAATACCCGCTAGACCAGAAATCAAATCCAATTTTCTTGAATTTCCTTTGCAAAACGCAAACTCTAAAGACTAAAGACTTCAGTTTTAAGAGATGCTTAGGGGGTTACAAGGACACCATGTAACTTTTTCTAGATATAAATTCGTTGGATTCCAATCTTTAATATTGCTTTTACACACATAAAATCCCCTCATTCTAGTAGCTTATAGCTAACCATCCTCAAATCTTCCACTACAAAAATATTGACCATGCAGTCACACATTAAGTGGTTGAGCCATTAAATACAGACTGCAGAATATCTTACCCTTCCCCCAAATCCCTTTCAGATCTGTAAGAAAAGAGAAAATTTCCATCTTCTGGAAAAGCTGAGCTGACCTCAAGCAGAGCCTACCCGCTCTTCCGCAAGGCTTTTCATATGTCATTCCTCCTTAGCACGCCTGTCTTGATAACAAACCATACTCTGTTCATCTGTCAGTCAAACCCTACATGTTTCAGTCTTGGTATAAAGCCCATTTTCTTCTTCAGACCTTCCTGTCAGTGAGGGTCACAGACCATCAGTGCTGCAAGACTTCAGAAGCCATTTGGTCACACCCCCTCAATTTTATAGACTGGGAGGTGATCCAGAGATCAACACAGGTCACCCAGGAAATCAGTAGCAGAGCCAGAACTAGAATTCAGATCTCCTGGGGTAAGGCCTTTTCCTTTATACTATCTTCTCCTTAATTCAACTATTATTTGAACCTAACATTATTTTGACTTGCTTTCCAGGGCACTGAATTTCAAACATTATTTTTTAAGTCTACCTCATTTACTCCCAGTCATCAAGAGTGAAGATTAGATTTAAATGCTCAAAGATCCTACACACTTGTGCATTTCCCCTTGATAAGCACTAATATAAAAAAGCCAAAGAAACCAGGTCTTTAGTGTGTTTTAACATGAGCTTACAACTGAAATCTAATTTAAAAATGTAAGCATACAACTAGGCTTTACCAAAGAGGAACGTGTTTATTTCACTTAAATTCTTAAAAATACTTTTTGGCAGTTGTCACATAAAATGTCCTAATGTAAAAAAAATTCATAAAAAAGAAAAGCATGAAAAAAACAGACCCAAAATGTTAAGATTTTATTTACAAAGCTTCTTTGTTGTACAGAAAGTAAAAATGCTGTTACAATCTTGATGTAACTGGTAGCCACAGATGGTTGACTCACCAATCACAGCTATCCACGCTACAGCAAGAGTCTTACACGAAAACCTAACAACGCTTACAATTTTGTTGGGGTGCAGTCCCCAAGCTTGTTGGTGAATTTCCAAAAGGGACTAAATGGAGGAAGGCGGAATGTCACAGGAACTATTCTTTGGCTCTTTGGGTGGGTGGGTGTCCTGGGGTTTGTATCACAGCTACCTTTT